CAGCCACATGACCACGGAGGCGTCTTCGGACAGCGCTGGCTCTTCGGCTTTGAAACGGAGATGAGCACCGCCCCCTGGAAGTTGGGAACGACTAGCACATATGTGCAACGGGAACCTTTGCCTTAGTCTCTAATGGTGGTTGCAATGGTTATGCATACAGTAATGGCCAAGCTCATGGATTCATTGACGTGCTGTTAAGATATTTTCAGACTGGTAATGTCAGGGCTGCCTGTGTCCTATTTCCTGGGGAAGGAAAACCCTTAGCTCCATGGATTCAGAGAGAGGAACTTTTGCTAGGAAGGAACCGAAAGCAACAAGTTTCAGGCAAGATCTGAGCCAAAGCGCGCAAACAAGCCGTAGAGCCCAACCCCCTTGTAGCTGGGCAACCAGAGGGCTGCTGCACACCAAAGCTAGAAGAAACGGCCTTGGAGAGATGAGCACAGAATGCAGTTGCAAAACTGCAATGAAAAATTCCCCACCGACCCCTCAGGCTAGCTGAGAGCTACTGTTATTTCAGCCTTGCAAATTTAAGATATCAGTTTGTCCTTTCTTGATTTATGCAAACTTTTTTTTGCCCCCCCCTAATGCACGAAGATGAGCCTAGGTTTTTCCAACATGACAAAATTCACTTTGATGTGTTCAGCTAAGGCACGGGGATCAAACTCAAGGCAATGTGGTTGGATTCGGCCTGTGGGGCCAGCCTGGGAAATGTAAATTGCTATCCAAAGCAAAGAGGAAACATCGGGCCAGCGTGGCTTCGTCCCAGTCTACCCAGTGCGAAGAGGAAATTTGCCAGCAGCTTGGAGAGTGGCGTCAAGCTGGCCACGCCCACCAAGTCGGTCATTCCTACCCAGCCTCCTGAGGTCAAGCACAGCCCTCAATGAAATTGAGTTTGACACCCCTGAGCTAAGGTATCAGACTAGAAGCCCACACGTGCTCAAGTCTGTTTTTGCTCACGGAAATCCACTGTGATTTAGGACTGTCCCCTCTCTCTTTCAGCCCTGCCTACCTCAGAAAGTGGTGGTTGGGAAAATGGGATCCTGCCTAGGGCCTGGGAAATTAAAGAGGGGTATAGATCTAATAATTAGATCTAATTAGATCTGTGTAATCAGAAGTACATTTATTTTTTATTTTTTGCAGATGCTGTTGCTGATGCAAAGAAGGCTTTAGCACTCGAGCCCAATAATGCTGTAGCTTTTCTCAGGCAAGGGTAAGTGCCATTTCCCCCCTCCACTCAACGTGCAATTGTGTTTAATTCTGTTTAGTGAGGGATAATGACTTTGTGCTTGTGCGAATATAAATCACCTTCGTTCATGCAGGATGCCAATTTTTCCGAATGTATTTGGTGGTTGGTTTAGGTTTTCTTTTAATGAGCTTTCTTGTCACAGTTGTTACGTTAATGACTGCAGTTGTTGAGTTACATTACAGTGAGCCCAAATGTATGTTGCTAAGTGAAACATTTGTGAAGTGAATTTTGCCCCGTTCTACGACCTTTTGAGCCACGGCTGTTCAGTGAATCACTGAAGGGTGACATATAGAGGTAGTCCGTTTAACTGTTAAAAAGCCCATTGGCCTTCAGGGACTATTCCCCTTCTCCTTTTCAGTTAATCCATTAAATCAGAATTCCCCAACCTTCCCGGGTTGATGGCCCAGAGCGGGGGTATGGTTGATGGGAGGGGATGGGGTGGTTTTGTGTGGGGGGGCAGGTGCATGGGAACGAGCCCCCATTGCTCATGTGAGGGAGATCGAGTGTTTGTGACATTTGTGCAGGTGGGGCCACAAGCCCCTGCATAATGGAGCTATGCACGTGTAGACACATCAGCCGGCCACTCGTCTGGCCCAGTTGCAAACAGGCTGCGGACTGGTAGTGGGCCGTGACCCACAGGTTGGGGAGCCCTGCATTAAATGGAAGGTTTGCTGTATCCAGAGCCAAGAAACCCAAAAGAGACCCCCCCCCCCGTTTCCCTGAAAATAAAACCTCCCCAGATAATCAGCCCAATTGAGCTTTTGAGCGCATGCGCTAAAATAAGCCCTCCCCTGAAAATATTGCAACACAGCAGCAGCCGTGAGGTGACCACGCTCGCCGCCTCCTGCGCCTCAAAAATAACCAGACCTCCCCGAAAATAAGGCCCAAGCGTCTTATTTCGGGGGTCAGAAGGAAATAAGACCCTGTCACAGCATTCGTCCTTTCTTCCTGCTACGTAAAGTCAAAAGATTTGGGGCTGTTGTTAACATGGGCACGACCGAAAGACCGTTGCTGACATGCTCTCCCTTTAATCTCCCCTTCAGAATCGGTGAATATTATATGAGAAATTATGATTCCGCCCTGAAGTCTTTCACTGAGGGGGAAACACAGGATGGTAAGTATGTCTGTGCATGGATTTCAAAAGGTAGAGAGGCCATACAGTCGTTCAGTGGTTCCCAAACTTGGCAACTTTAAGACTTGTGGACTTCAATTCCCAGAATTCTCCAGCCAGCTCTGCTGGCTG